AGTCAGGTATATATGTATAGTGACATGGACTGAGGATATAGTAATAAAAAACCACTTTAAAAACTTTTTTTTAAATTCAATGCAATTTAAGAAAAAAAATTAGGTAATTTCTCTCAGGTTTTATAAATATTCAAAATTGTGCTTTGCAACATATACTTAAGTCCAAATAAGTATATTATTTTAGGGTTAGAATGTAAAAAATACTCGGTCAGTTAAATAGGTACCACATAAAATATCCATATTGGGGGTGAGAGCAGTACCGTAGGTATGTAACTAATATGCCTTCTATGTACAACTTAAAACTACAGTACTATGACGACTCAAGATTATTATACTAGTAAAAAATTCACATTTAAAATAACTCGCATATAATATTTTGTCTAAGGAAGTATTTAGAGCAGTTTAGTTTTTATTACAGTCACATTCCAGCGCACTCTTACATAAGTCCGTATTATATCACAAGCCCTTAGGGGGTGTCGACGTAAGAAAGAAAGCGATGTCCTTAACCGGACAGCTCGTGCTCTGCGTGGTAAGGTCGACACAAGTATGCAGTTCAAATAAGCGCAGGCGCAACCTAGGAATGTGGCTTCTAATGTGGGTCACACACATGCTCGAAAATAATAGATCTGAATAGAAATATGACGTTTATTTGTGCAACTACTCACAATTACAACGGCTAAGATAGAAATTAAATGGAAAAGGAAAGAAGACAAGCGAATAAATATTGATGTACTATGTTTATAAGTAAGACAAAGCATTGACCGTTGTCTTACTGATCTAAGAAAAATGCAGTCAAATATCTAGGAACATCAGAAATGGCAACACTTTGAAACCCGCGTGAAATTTACTCTAACGTGGAGCTCGTGGTTCACTTTTGCAAATAATGATGATCACTCAAGTAAATTTCACGCGACGAACCAAGCAGATGATGGATTTATGTTTTAATTTAAAAAGACGTCCATCTTGCGTTAAGTTAAACAAGTTACCTTATGAAATATTTTACTTTTATACTGCCCCACTAAAATAGAAGTGCGAAAAAATACAATTTTTCATAGATTTTTTAGTGTTCCAGAATCCTTTAATAATAATAATAATACTTAATTGTCACATCGTTTTACAGTTACAATTTTTTAATATAAAATTTACAAATAAAATATAACACGATGATGTAGCAATTGGCGGTCTTATCGCTAACAGCGATTTCTACCAGACAATCATTTGCAAATCCAATTGCAAATCCTTTGTGTGGCTCAAAAACTTTAGAAAAACATTAAAATCTCATAAAAGTAAAAGTCAAAAGTAAAAATAATCTTTATTCAAATAGACTTCTTAAAAGTACTTTTGAATCGTCCAAGATTTTTTTCCCGTTGTTCAGAACGTCTTTTGGCTGATAAGAGGAACGAGCAAGAAACTCACCAGTTCCAATAGGAGTATGACATTCACAAAAACCATGTCATTACCAGATGAATACATTATTAATAAAGAGAGAAAAAAACTATGGTCTTATAATGATAACATAATAATTTAATAATAATGGAAACTAGATAATTATGAGATATAATGAGTTTAGAAGAAATAACCTATCCAGTTGCTGGACCATCTTAAGTCCATGTTATATAATCGGATGCCTTATTATAAGCTTTCTTAATAAGTATTTTTTAAATAGTAGATTTAAACAGCAAGATATCTTATTGTTGAATTTTGCTTAGGAGCTTATTGTAGAAGCGCACACACAAAAACCCCTGAATGAGTAATTAACTTTTTGCAGTCTAGCTAGTGACAGGCACTGTAAATTTATTTTTACTTCTTGTATTAAAGTTGTGTACATCGCTTTTTATAGAAAACAAACTAATATTTTTAGATTAAGTTCTCATATATATATTGCATACAGCTGGCGCAATGTCGTCCGTCGTGGAGTTCAAAGGGGGAGGCCTATGTTCAGCAGTGGACGTCTTCCGGCTGATGATGATGATATATATTGAGAAGCAACAGTTAATATGTCTATTTCCTTAGATTTCTCCCTTAAAGAGTTCCTAATCCTAAGATTATAATTGATCTAATTGCTCTATTCTGAAGCACAAAAATCATTTGTATGTAGGCAGAATTTCTCCACAATAGGATTCCGTACGACATAACACTATTAAAGTAACTGAAGTATACTAATCTGGCAGTATCTATGTCAGTTAACCTACATATCTTCATTACGGCATATACTGCACAGCTAAGTCTATTCGACAATTTCTCAATATGTGAGCCCCACTGTAGTTTAGAATATAATCTTTTTCTAAAAATACTGTGGCCCATGTTCTATTAACATTTATATCTACTTTTTAAAATTAGGTAGTGTAAATTTTAGGCATTTTATTTTTCCTTCATTAAGGAGAAGATTATTTACATTAAACCAATGTAATACTTTAGCGATAGAATTGTTCACATCGTCATTTAGAAGTAGCCCTCTTTTAATTTTAAACAAAAGTGAAGTGTCATCCGCAAACAAAACTAATTTGTGATTATCTCTTAAGAAATATGATGAGAATAGATAGATATGTAAAGTAAAAACAAGAAAGGACCAAGTATTGAGCCCTGTGGAACACCCATCTTAACTTTCGATCCAGGGAATCTTTTGCCAGTAATATCAACCCTCTGCACTCTGTCAGTGAGACAAGAAAATCCAATGAGTTATCTCAAAATCCATAATAATGAAGTTTCCTAATCAATGTTTCATGAAAAACACAATCAAATGCCTTAGATAGGAATAAAAAACACCTAACGCATCATGTGAAGCAGGTTGTTGAGCGACCCCTTGTAAATCCAAATTGTTGTCGATAAGGTTATTCTTGTAAAAGTATGTTTGTATTGGATCCAGCATGATTTTTTCAAAAATTTTACTAAACGTAGGTAGCACGGTTATAGGTCTAAAGTTAGTGGGGTCAGATGTGCTACCCGAGTTAAGAAGAAACAATATATTTCAGTTCTGTTTTTTTGGATGTAGTGCCTCGCTTGGATGTTGACGAGGCTGCACGTGAGGTATTCTCGATTGCTGATGCAAAATCCATCTCTATCCCGTCTGTTAGCAAAAAAGATCTGAATAAAGCTGTTAAGCGTCTTAAGCCGAGATCATCAGCTGGCCCTGATGGTGTTCCGGTTTTTTTAGTTAGGGATTGCGTACCTGTTCTAGCGGCGCCTTTGCTATATTTATTTAATCTCTCTTTGAGACAGGCTAAGTATCCTGACCTTTGGAAATTATCTAGAGTAACACCAATTCCCAAGGGAGATCCTGTTCCAAATGTGACAGAATATAGGCCAATTGCAATATTATCTGCTTTTGCAAAGCTCTTCGAAGCCATTATCAACACTGACATTAGCCAGCAGATAGGTAACCGGCTCCATAACAGTCAACACGGTTTTCGCAAAGGACGTTCAACTACTACAAACTTAACGGCTCTGATAGACTACGTCTCTGGTGAAATGGATGCTGGCAGACAGGTTGATGCAGCCTACTTTGATTTTAGGAAGGCCTTCGACCTTGTTGATAATGACATATTGTTGAAGAAGTTGTTGAAGAAGCCCAAACTTTTACAATTTTTTGCTAGCTATCTAAAGGATCGACGCCAGTTTGTAAAGTTGAATGGACTTGAGTCGGTATACTATTACACAAGGTCCGGTGTGAGTCAGGGTAGTACATTGGGGCCGACCCTATTCCTGATTATGATAAATGATCTCCCTGAAGTGGTAAAAGTCGCCGAGTGTCTCTTGCTTGCTGATGACCTTAAGTTATATATGGGTGTAGAGAGCCAGGACAATGCAGATGCACTGCAAAAAGACATAGACGCTGTGGTTGAGTGGAGTAAAAGTAACCGTCTTCCCTTTAATATTTCAAAATGTAAAACCATTACATTTGGACGAAAACGCTCGGTTTTACATAATAACTATAAGTTATTTGACACCCCATTGGAAAAAGTTGACGATATTCGAGACTTAGGGCTAATATTAGATACTAAGATTGACTTTCACAAACACGTGACTAACGTTTGTAGGTCTGCTAGTAGGATGTTGGGCTTTATTATAAGAACATCTTCGGAATTCGATAGTCTGGCAGTGGCAAGAGTACTGTACAATGCTTACGTGCGCAGCAAACTCGAGTACGGGGCGATCATTTGGGATCCGTATGAGGAAAAATACAAATTATTAGTAGAAAGAATACAGAGGAAATTTACCCGTTGGTTATATAAAAGGTGTTATGGTTATTATCCCTTCCTCTACCCGTCCTTGTTTGTGAGTGGGATGGTAGCTGTCGAAACGTTGACCTTTAGAAGGAAATTTCTGCTCATAGCATATTACCTAGCTGTGATTTACCACAGGGTGGATTCTCCACATGTATTCGACACCCTCTATCTCTCAGTTCCCTCTCGGGTCCCGGTTTCCGCCGACGGCTTGGTGGCTCCTCGCCGCTATCCTCGTCTGCTGAGAAGGCCGGTCACACGAACTAACTATGCTGCACAAGCTCCTACCGCGCGTGGGATACGCTTGGTCGGGGATGTGCTCGCTCAACACAAGGATTTGGATTTGTTTGCTGATGGTATGGGCCGATTGTTATCATCGGCTAGACAGATCCTAGATTCTTTATAAATTAAGTAATCCTTAGCATTGATTTATATTATTGTTGGTCATTTATCTACTACGTACTTTAAATTCATGTTTTTTTTTTCAATTATATAAATTAATATTTTGATTATTTTTTCACAATTTGACATTGCTTATTTATTGGTTGTAAATCTGACGTAATTCAATATCAGTACAAATACTTTTTTTTTTTTGACTTGTAAAAATTGAAATTATTATGACAAATGTATAATGAGCCAGTGTGATGGAGTATTCTGTAAGCTGGTGCATGATTGAGTAATAAATAAATAAATAAATAAATATATGATAATGGCTGTGTCGATTAGATCCCTTTACTTTTACTTGACAACAAAATGGCTGTCCGTCACTGTCATATAAAAACCACGCTTACGTCAAAATCGTGAAAATAAAACAAAACTTATTTCTAAAGAAATGCTTGTTTTTTACCAAAAATATTTCAACTCTAAATAATTTTAATTTTTGATAGAGTGAAAGAAAATATATATGCTTATCATTTAAAGCATATTTTATTTGCATCAAATCAGAAGACTGAGTAAGTTATGAGTATTTATTTATTAATTCAAGTAAACTATGCTTACAATTAGATTAAAATTCAAACTATTACTATGATTGCAAATAATTCATCATGACCCGAACTTTTAACATGTTATGGTGATTTCAGAACCCAATATTGAAAAATGTCTATGCCACATAGTAGCTCCAGTGGAACCAGCTCAAATACAAAACGTAAAGAAATATACAAGTAAGTACATTAACCACTTATTAATTCTTCTTCACACCAATACAATTTTAAGTAATACTCTTAACTTTACACCGACTTTTTATTGAAATAATAATTAATCAATTTTGTATTCAGATACCAAGCACCATGGCCTCTCTATTCAATGAACTGGTCAGTGCGCCCTGACAAAAGATTCAGACTGGCACTTGGCAGCTTTGTGGAGGAATACAATAATAAGGTTTGTCATCATTATATCCTACATAAGACACACAGTTAAACAGTATTTAGCCTATCTAGAACAGCTTCCAATTTTCCTTACATAATCTGTCATCACGCTGTATTGTAAAAAGAAGTCAACATAACATTTTATAAATATCTACATGTTTAATATCATGACTACAAATGCCAGAGCCCCTAAGACAGATGAAATCATAGTGCTTTTGTCTTTAAAATAAAATTCCATAATTCCCCAAAGAAAGTAAAATGATTTTTGTTTGTCAGAATAATGTTATTATGTCTGTTCCGTTCTTTTTATTGCATATATTTTTTGTCTCGACATAAAATTATATATATGCTACTGTAAGGACATTTGTAGGTTGATAATTTTGAAATTATGCATGTTCTAAGCCAATACTGCACTCACTAATCACTGCTATTGTCACGCAATTCTTGAAATGCTCTGTGCATTTATACTTTACTTTTCATTAGGTACAAATCATTTCTCTGGATGAAGAAACTAGTGAGTTCAGTGCCAAGAGCACTTTTGACCACCCATATCCAACCACCAAAATTATGTGGATACCTGACAGCAAGGGAGTGTATCCTGACCTACTCGCTACTAGCGGTAAGCCATTTTATTACTAATAATTATAAAGCATGAATCTATTTGTCTGTCCGTTCTTCTAAAAATTATGCTGAATGCTGGTGTAAATGAAAGGTGTGTTAATCATAGCTCAATTTATTCTGCAATGTTGACTTCAGTATCTTCACATCATATGACATTGTATTATTGTGTTACATACATTTTAAATATTACAGAATTTTGAATACTAAGTCATTAGTCAGTTAGATAGTGATAGTTACATTAGTCCATTCAAGTAAATATGACATTAAAGAAATGTAGACTTGTCTGCAATAAAAACAAAATACAGATACATTAACAAATGACACATTTGTGTTTACCAATCACATCAGAAATAAATAAATTTTCAGGCTTTAAAATTTAAGTAAGGAGCTCACTGTGTTGTGTACTAAGTTAAAGATTAATTAAATCCAAAGAGTTGTGAAGGTAAAAAAGCTTACAATTAGTGTTCTACAATTTTGTGAAGTAACAAAACAAAATTTGAAGCTTTTTAATGTGATACTCTGTTGTTGTACCCCTATGAATTGTACATAATTGTATGTGTTATATTATAAAAATTGTATGTTGTGATTTACAGTGTATTTAAAACATTGTTGTAGTACAGAGCATCCTCAGCCACCAAATAATGTTTTTTAAAAATTCTTGTAGATATTATTAGTATAGGTATTATGCCTGTTGAGTATGGCAGTATTGCGACAGAATATCACACACTTTCTACTGACTTATGGAGATATAATCGGGACACTTATTTTGGACATGTTAAATGGGATAAATGGAGCACTTCCTATCTCCTTTATCCAGGTCAACAGGTCTTGACATCTTGACAAATGATTGGACGTGGGCCAGCAAATACCACTTCAATAATTATACATTATTGATAGAGATATTTATATTTCTTTTGAAGCTCTATCCATATTGTTACGGAGTGCAATGGCGCGGTTTGTCTTCACATTACTAGATGGCGTTATGCGCCAATGAATTGCGCTCACACTGTCGAAACTACGCCTCTCATATAGGTATACATCGGGTCTACGAGAAAGGGACGACCACCGGGGAAGAAAGGGATGGGTAGCTAGTCAAGAACTTTTTGGTAATGCCTCGATATACCGGTACTACTCGTCCCGGGATTCTTCAGTGAACAATTTATCGGAAGCGAAACTCGAAGCGATAGCTAGAGTGGTGAACGATCTAATAGTGTTGTGAAGTGTTATTAGTGACGTGAAATAGTGAAGTTGAAATGTGAATTTTGTAGTTCGATTATAAAAAGTCTGGTTGTGAACTATAATTGACGTTAATTTTTATCCAAAACCCTAAGTCGTAACAATATCTTTAAATTGAATATCAAGTTTGAAGCTGTGTTTATACCCCACATATTAATGTATAAAATATTCCACCTAGACCATGGCTCTTTTGGCCCAAGATTAAATACATCCATCATTACTATCTTTGTGTAGTTATAGTAATAGTAGATGTGTTTTTTGGCACTGGTGAACTCTATTTTTTATTGTTTATATTGTTACTGATCAGGGTTCGGGATACAAATTAACGCCAATGAGGAAGTATTTAAAAAAAAACGAAAGCACTCAAATACCACTTCCACTAGATGGCGACTCTAGCAAAAGTGGATTTTTGCAAGAAACAAATGGACCAAAGACAGTCATTTCCGTTCCTGTTTACTAACATATAAAAAAACTGAAATTTGAAAATTTCAAAAATTAGATATCAATACAAATTGAATACGAGTTGTTAATTGAGTTTTGAAAACTAATTTACTTTTAAACATGAAAGAAAACCGGATAGGTTATCATGGAGAAATCAAGAACGTGCAGTGGCGACATCTAGTTAAATTTCGGGAACTAATGTATTTTTTTTTAATTACTTCCTCATTACAGTTCAAAATCCTACTTTATTTGACACAATAAAATTAAAAAATAATCCAACTACAAAATTCACACTTCACCTTCACTATTTCACGACACTAATAATAACACTAGTTATCGCTTCCGATCGCTTGTTTGACTGAAGAAGCCCGGTACTGGTAGTCAGTCCATCGCGTATTTATAGGGGCCGATATCACATCTATAATGTTCTAGGTTTGGACCTAGAACTTTCTAGATGTTTCCTCGGATCTACTGATGTATTCGGGGCATTATCAAAAGTTTCTAAAATAGCAACCCGTCCGTCCCTATCTTTCCCGGTGACAGTCCGTTTTGCACCGATCCGATGTTTACTTATGTGACACAGGTAGTTATAACAGTGTTAGCGCGATTCATTGACGCATAACGCCATCTAGTAATGCGTAGACGAAACGCGCCGTTGCACTCCGTAACAATATTGTTCTCTCGGCAACGCATACAGAGCATCACAGAACAATCATAATACCTATACTATAACGCATCTACCAAGTATTATGGTGTATTTAATGTAAACAAAAGACAAGAAAGTTCAAACTGACAATAATTACTGATTTCTTATATTTTCGCGCGCAAAAGCAATTACAAAAGCGCTAAAACAACGGCTTAAACGTAAAGTTGTTTCATTTAATGACAAAATTATTTCGGACTGGTAATAAAACGCACTTTGACTTATTTATTAGATTAATAAATGTATCATAAATTAATAATCGATACCTTTTTTTAGGTGACTACCTTCGCATTTGGCGAGCGGGTGAACCTTACACTCTCTTTGAGTGTGTCCTCAATAACAACAAGAACTCGGACTTCTGCGCCCCCCTGACGTCATTTGACTGGAACGAAGTCGACCCCAATCTGATTGGCACCAGCAGTATAGACACAACATGCACCATATGGGGCTTGGAGACTGGCCAGGTGTTGGGCAGAGTTAACGAGGTGTCAGGACATGTGAAAACACAACTCATCGCTCATGACAAGGTAACTTAAACATTCATTTGTAAAAGTTTTGTAGACTATTTATAAAAAATTGTTAAATAAATAAATAAATCAAATGATTCAGTTTGACAAACCAAAAATTATATGATTCAATATTTTATTCAAATTGTCACTTGTCCTTTTTACCCGGCGCGAAGGAACAGTTGTTTTTCGCGCATATCTTGTATGTATGTAATATTCTTTATTCCCTCATATCTTCAGAACCGCCAAGCGGGTTTAGATAATAGAGGTATCTTTAGATTCGTCTTAGAAGCTCAAGAGTTCTCAGACAGGCAAAGTTAAAAAAAATGGCGGCTGTGCGACGCCATTATATTTAATAATATTTTTTGTTACAAATACTACAATATGGCTCAATACAAGGATTCTAAAAAGTTAATTATGATTATCAATAATACTAATAAAAACAATACAATGATAAAGATTTAAACTATGGACTTTGTTCTTTCATTTTCTAAACCAACCTGGTATTTGTCTAGATATAAAGATAAATTAAAATAAAATAAAAACCCGCCTGTCTGAAAAACAACTAACTGAAAAGGCTGGAACAATATCAATTAATTAACATGCAATCGGAGACATGCACAATTAAAGAAAGATTTGATTTATTATTCAATCTCATCCAATTTTATAAATCTAAAATTAAAGAAATTAGAATTTTTTGAATAGTCATTAAATAAATATAATTAAAATGGTAAATTGGACTCAATCGCAAGAGAGGGATTCACTTTTAGTCAAATCCAATGCTGTGGTTATGTTATGTATATGCTGTTTATCTAGTTTGTGCAAACGGATAACATTTTCATTTGGTAAATAGGAGGTGTATGACATAGCGTTCAGTCGCGCGGGTGGCGGCCGCGACATGTTCGCATCTGTGGGCGCCGACGGATCCGTCAGGATGTTCGACTTGAGGCATCTAGAACATTCCACAATCATATATGAGGTAATCAGACTTATTAAGTAAAATGACAATAACCACCAAAAATAACTACAAAGGCGTTGACCGAATTCAAATTAAACAATTTGAAGATTAGCTGGCCATGCTTTTAATCACTCAGCTTGGAAATACCTCTGGACTGTATTTTGTTGTACGACTTTTAAACATCGGGGCCCGGATCCCGGCGTTGCAAAAATTTTGAGACTTCTGATAAAAAAATGTAACATCCGAGGTCAGATGCCAAGGTGGCCGAAAGAGTTGACGTACTACAAAAATAATAGAGGGCTAAGAAAAGTACCTCGGGGAACTCCAAATTTTCTCAACTTCATTTCGAATGGATACATTTCAGTTGCATGCTTAGAAAACACTTATTATAGATCGCATTTAGTTATTTCGGTCTGGTTTAAATTTGTGTAATTTTATTAATAGTCGTTTGTCGGAAACAAAGTCGAACGCTCGAGAGAAGTCGAAAAGAAATTTATTAAAATTAGGTTAGTCTGAACGAGCTTTTGGCGTCGTCAGTTATATAGTGTGTCTCGTCCTGTAATCGTGTGCTATCCATCGCCAGGACCCGCAGCACACGCCGCTGCTGCGGCTGGCGTGGAACAAGCAGGACCCCAACTACCTGGCGACGGTGGCGATGGACGCGTGCGAGGTCATCATCCTGGACGTGCGCGTGCCCTGCACGCCCGTCGCCAGGCTCAACAACCACCGCGCCTGCGTCAACGGCATCGCCTGGGCGCCCCACAGGTATATACACATAAAAAAGTTTGCTCATGTCAAGCAACTAAATTCCTAAATCTGACTTCACTTACTTGGTCGATCATTACAATACGTCGAAATGACCAATTCTATTCCTATACACAAGTACGCTCTGCTCTATGCTATTGTTAAAGTTGCAGAAGGGGATTAGTGTATGTTCAAATCCCAAAATATTCTTATTCTATTTTTATAATAATACATTTATTATAAAATAATAATACATTTATAACTTATTTACAAGTTTTATTTGTTCTACAGTCGAGATCTCGTGTAACTTTACAAGTTGAACTCTATACTGTTGTTATTACGATTGCCTTAGATGTAAGGCTGGTTCTGTAAGTAAAAAGCTTCATGTGCTCTATCTTTACTTCAGCTACAATTCATACTTAGCTCATTCTCCTTAATATTTTTTTTCAGAATAGCTTTCAACCATTATTGGTTTAACATCAATATTTGATGCTGGCAGGATATATAAAGCGCGCTTTTGCACTTCATTAATTAGAATACTCTGAGTAAATAAAATAAACAAAATGTTAGTATATTTTTATATTTGATTAATTTAGCATTTACACTACTATCTAAATATTCTTTATTTTCCGCTAGTCAAGAACTTTGTCACTGGTACTCTGAGATGGGATTCGAACCTACGACCTTTCGCAATCCGGGCGACTGCCCTAACCACTGAGCTACTATGGACCTAACATGAACTGACGAATTTTCCAAGCACTTGTTACTTTTTGCTACTACACAGCTGAAAGCGATATTTTTACAAATATTTCAAGTCATTGTTTGTACAGTTCGTGTCACATCTGCACCGCGGGCGACGACCACCAGGCTCTGATCTGGGACATCCAGCAGATGCCGCGCGCCATCGAGGACCCCATCCTCGCGTACACCGCCGCCGAGGGCGAGGTCAACCAGATCCAGTGGGGCGCCACGCAGCCCGACTGGATCGCCATCTGCTACAACCGCCACACCGAGATCCTGCGCGTCTAGCTCCACCACTCCACCGGCCTCGCTCACACGACCAAATACAGTGGGATCTACCACTTCATCATCTTCGCTTACACGACCAGATACAGTGGGATCTACCACTTCACCATCTTCGCTTACACGACCAGATACAGTGGGATCTACCACTTCACCACCTTCGCTTACACGGCCAGATACAGTGGGATCTACCACTTCACACGATCTTATCGTTTAAACTCTTAACAAAGAGTATGTACTCAGGACTTTTATTGTAGCCTCATCGACTGTTCTGAAATAAAACACTGAATACTTCACTTCGTTACTGTACACTTAACGTATATTATATTATATAAGAATATTATTATTAACAGTTCTTATTTCATTCGAATTGTCATCTATTGGTTATTAATGTCAGCCATTTCCTCAAGAAATTTCTTCCCTCGACTGTAGATACGGATGTTATGGTTTACATGGTGGTTTACACTGATTAAGTTGATAAATAGTTAACTAAAATGTGAATTTATTTTTATAATTGCCGGTTTACACATATTAAGTTGTTAACTTAATTTTAAGTGATTAAGTACATGTATATATTACAGTTGAAACCAGTTTTTAGATAGAACGCGTTTTCCCCAGTTCTAACTAGTTTTTACTAAATGCCTTTCTTAAAACTACAATTAATAAATGCTAAAAATTGAATATCAAACTTACTAGACAAACCGCGTTTCCCGAAGCAAATCAGTGACAAATAACTTTGTTTATTCTATCATTTTCTTTTTTGCTAAAAGAATAACCTTAAAATTTAAGACGATATTTACGCTACACTTCGCAATCGTTTTAATTTTGTCGCCTATCACCTGACCTACAAGACAAAAATATATAACCTAATAATTCTTTTTTGTTGTTATTAATTATTGTAGCACCAAAAAAATAATAGAATTAACAAAGTTATTTTCCGCTAGTCAAGAACTAGTTATAACTGATATAGGTATAATTTTGACCATTCGTTAATTCTAGTTTTAACAAAGGCAAGTAGTAACAACTTCTAACCTGGAAAAACACGTTCTATCTTAAAACTGGTTGGGCACACATTAATTACTTAAAATTAAGTTAACTACTTATCAACTTAATTAGTGTAAACTAACCATTAGATTTGCCATTTTGAATTAAAAGAGACCTTTTAATAAAAAAGTAATATCTTTTCTCTTCTCTTTTAATAATAGATAAGTTTCGAAGATTCATTTACTTGTAAAGGAACGAAAATGACTGTCTTTGGTCCACATTAATGTCGTTATTTCCAGTCAAGAATTAACAGAAATTTTCAAACATCTATTTTAGTAGCTTCTGATATTTGATATTTACTCATTCGTTGTACACACGGCTGCATATCAGGTTATCACAATATGTAAAAATTTCAGTAATTGATTTTGAACTCTACCATCAATGCATTATAGTTTAAAATCAAGTGGAGAAATTCGACATTTTTGGACAACCTGACGTGCTGTTGGCTGTAAACATACGTACAGCTCGTAGTGTATTTATATAAATGGCATATTGAGTGTTTTATTTGGACCGTGTGATCATGTTTATCCCTCTCATTGTATTTCTTGGCTTTCAATAAAATTAAATGTTTATACCTATATACTTAGTTTAGGTACAACTGTTTTTTTTATTGTTAATGGTTGTTTTTAATTGTTTGGATGAAGAATAAATGTAAATATGACATAGGTTTCGTATGAACTTTCCATTTTGGTGAACCAATTATTTTCGAGCTAATTGATCGAAATTTTCTCCAAATGTATATTAAATTGTAAAAATAGAAAAGGCTAATTAATTAAGTTATATATGATAGAAATTTTAATTGCGATTGCTGTGTATGAATATTGAAATTGTAGTAGTAAAATCTTTATCCCTAGTAACTAGTAATTGGTAGGAAAATAAACGCCTAAATACTTAGAAAAATGTACCTTTGACTTCTGTTTAATGCATAAGGTATCTTTACTAAGTTTTTTTTGACGTTTAATCCAAATGTTCTTGGAGTTTGTATTTTTGGGTGGAACTTGACGTCTGTGTATGTATGACGGAAGATGCGACGCATAATTGTCGGCCGCGGAACGTCAGACAGAGTTAACAAATGTATGATATGACATTCAACCTAAGCACACTAGAAGGAAATTCCATCTCACACTAAAAAAACAAATAAACCGTATTATTCTGCGACGCTCGACTGACCTTCCGTCAGATTTGCACGGACCCTTAAATAGTATGTGATCATAATGAGAAACTGAAAAAGTTTGAGCTTAAGATGAATTTCACAGCGTGCAAAATTTCACCTAACAGTGATTGAATTCGCGCACCGTCAAGTCTAACAGTACAAACCAATTCCTTATTTTTATAACCATACGAATTATTGAAATAAGGCGGATTATAAATTTTAATCATACATTCGGCGGTCAAGAAGGTTCTGAGGACATCCCTTATTAGTTGAGTTATATGTATTGTACGTAGTTTTATTCTGAAAGCATTTCATTTTATAATATAATTATTACATGTTGCAATAAAAATATTATTTTGTCGAGTGAACCAGTGTGTTCTGAGCGACATAATTTTGAATTGTATGTATATATTAATAAAGATCTGTTTCTCCTCTAGATTGGCGTGACTAAAAGTATAGATTGGTAGTAAATTAAATATTATTGCATTTAATATGATGTAGGCAAATGTCTGCACTTCAAGTTTTCACTTTTGTAGGAATGTTTATTGTTTGTAAGTGAAAACCTTTTTATATAACCTATGTTCCTTTTTCCATGTAACCAAACATTCAGTAGCAATTAAAATATTATTTATAATTACAATAGTTATGATTAATTTATACATAATTAGGGTATGAAGTATTAAAAAAAAAAAAGAGAGAAAATGTTTCATTTTTTATACACTTCTCCAAAATAAATAAAATTATAAAAACATAACATGTTGTATAAATAGGTCATCCAGATTTTTGCCCCAAAGCAAAGATTTCATAAACTTTCAATAAAGAGTCTGGGGTTCTTGGTTTGAATTCTGTCAGTACTTGTTCAAAATGTTCCATAGTTACTGCGGGACAGTCCAAGTCCTTCTCCAATGCTTGCAATGCAGCTTCATGGCAGAGAGCATGTAGCTCTGCACCAGAGAAGCCTTCTGTTTTACAAGATAGACTATGAGGATTAATGTCATCGCTTACACTCATTTTATCTAATTTCAATTCCAGAATTTGTAGTCTTGTTTCAAAATCTGGCAGCGGAACATAGATCAATCTGTCGAGCCTTCCAGGTCGTAGCAATGCTCTATCTATCTTATCGGGACGGTTTGTGGCTGCTAATATTGTTACTGAATTGAGAGGAACAACACCATCCAATTCAGTCAAAAGCTGTGCTAAAACTCTTTCATGGACACCGGCTTCTCCTGTACTCCTCTCACCGCCGATGGCATCCATTTCATCAAAAAATATTATTGATGGAGCAACTTGACGCGCTTTGGTAAACAAATCTCTGACGGCGCGCTCCGATTCTCCAACCCATTTTGAAAACAACTCTGGCCCCTTTATTGACAAGAAATTCAGACCACTCTCAGTTGCCAAGGCTTTTGCAATCATAGTTTTAGAACAGCCAGGAGGGCCATACAGTAGTACACCACTCGGAGGTCGGATGCCCAACCGTTTGAAACTATTTGAATGTTTAATAGGCCACTCCACAGCTTGACGGAGCTTTAGTTTAAGATTTTGTTGACCACCAATATCTGACCACCTTACGTTAGGTACTTCTATCAGTAACTCTCTCATTGCACTGGGTCTTACTATGGTTAGTGCTGCTATTAAATCTTCATGTTGTATAACTTTACTTGATCTTTTTATACATTTCAGTGAAGCTTGTGTACATAGATTTATTAAGTCTGCCGCTACATAACCATGAGCCAAATCTGATATTGAATTTATCTCTTGAGATGATACCTTATGAGACAAATTTGAAAGAAGACTACATAATATACCTTTTCTTCTAATCCTATCTGGAACTGGCACCTCTATTTCTTTGTCCAGTCTACCAAATCTCCTGAGCATTGGATCAATAGCATCTGGTTTTCTTGTCGTAGCCAGAACAAAAACTCTGCTATTCTGTTCATGGAGACTGTCTAAGAGAGCAACAAATGCAGATGTAACTCTCCTTTCCTGCTCAGTACTACCAGCAGATCGTCTCGGACAAATGGTCTCTATTTCATCCACTAATATAATACTGGGTTCATTTTGTGTAGCCCTAGAAAACAAAATTCTCATAGTAGCTTCTGTTTCCCCGAAATATTTACTAAATATTGCTGGACCACTTATCTCAACATGAAAACAACTAATGTTTTCAATAAGATATTTACACATTGCAGTTTTGCCAGTACCAGAATGGCCATACAAAAGCAATCCTCTAGTGGGTTGAAAATTTGTTGCTACCTCTGGATCAAAGGAGATATCTATCAAAGTTCTAATTTCATCTAGAATATCATCAACTCCACCGAGATTGATAAGCCTTTTATTTACATTTTTAACAGTATCATTTTCCATGGTCCATATTGTACTATCACTTGTGACATACCAACTATTACTACTCTTAGTAGATGCTTTTACATTTGTCACTTCTATTTCAAGTTTTTTACCAAAATAATAAGTGACCAAAATACTACCTATGCTTATAAAGTAATTACGAAAATTATGTTTCAATATATCACTGATGTCTATTTCCAGTTTGTGATTTTTTATTCTTACAGATAAGTATGTTGCCTCTTGAACTTCTCCTTGTAACACTGATACTGTTATTTTCTTATTGTCACTGCACCAAGCACCAGATAAATCTGAAACAAAATAAAAGAAAAGTAGTAATCTTCTTACCAAATATTAAGATGATGTTTAAATAACAAATAGTGGGTTGATGAATCTTGGTGTTCCTACCAGCTGCGGGCAACATAACAGCAGCAGGTGCCGACATCTTCGATGGCCACATTCGCTTAACGAGCTTTGGAGCGCCTTCCCTGGTCAACTCCAAAGGTCCCCCTATAACAGCACCGATCAACATGCCGGCAGATGGATGCACCAGCACCGCATCTTTTGGTACACCATCAGGCGAAGCAGCGCCTCTTACTAGCCAAGCATATAACTTCTTGTCTTCAACGTAAGGGCATTTTATCTGATCCTTCCGACAATTCAATTCTACGTGAATATTTTTATCGTTGGAGGTTATAGTACAGTTGCAACGCTCGCAATCAACCCACAAAGTTTTTTTGGTTTGTTTCGGAGGCATAATTGAATTCAATTGATCACTTTTCTATACTTAAATGATTTATATGTTAGTAGAAATAATCTTTCAAGTTTCGCGACATTCGACGAGGTGCATTTTGACTTTTGGGCATTTTGAGGTTATGTACAATCATCAGCACGTCAGGCTATACAATAATTCAGTCAGTTTTAAACCTTAACGTGATGAGGATAGGATCCAAAATCAACTAACTGAGGAAATCTGACATATTGTGGTAGCCTGAAGTGTAGCCGTATGTACCATATTGTCCGATTTTGATAGATGTTGTCTTCTAAGGATGCACGATATATCGGATAACCGATATTAATTGATATCGACAATCGATATCGAAACCTTAGAAATCAAATGAAACCCTAAAAGTGTATATGTATATCAGATAACATCCAAAGGATGAACGATGCTAAAGTATGGTTTTAAAGCATGGATGATGCTGAGCAAATCATAAATGCTATGAGAGATGATGTCCAAAATAATTTATCAAGAATGTAAAATTGTAGATGATTTTAATGTTAATAGAAGGATATCCTTGTTTATTAGTATGACAGCTAATGCGGACATGATTTTCCTCATCTGGAATATAGTGAACTTATAATAATTGCCGTGGAAACATACCCTATGTCCTATGCAAATCCTATATGGGTCCTGTTATGGTGATTAAGTACGTTCCCACGGTGAATAAACACATCAAATTTAGTAGAGAAACTAATGTCACAGAATACAATCTCAGGGAAACTGTGAAAATACTTTATTGACTGGAAGAATAAAATTTGGTGATCAACTTGCAATAAAGGGTTGATAGATTACTTGAATTCAAAAAGTGTTACCTTAAAACTATGCTAATTAGCATACTTGAGCGCAGTCCGGCGAAATCGTTGATAGTGTTCGTTTATGTACCATAATCATTCCTCGTCTTATTATATTATACATACATATATTGTGTTAATAAACATATTATAGGTATATCAGTGTCAGGTTTATTTAATCGCTTCATTATTTATACACGAGCAAATAAATATACACTTACGACAAGGAGAAATAATAATGTTAGAGATGAACATTTTTAAGTTTAAATATTGATCGAAAGTTCTTTAACTCTTTTAGGTAAAAGTAGGCATTAAACCATTATACGTCTGCTCTGTGACATGTATCAGGTAGTTGTGGTCGTCGTATGTTAATAAATAGTCGGCTTGATGGCTAATTGACATTTATTTATAATAGTGGTTACACGAACAATAATCATCATAGTTTTCTTGAACACGCGCCATAACAGAGAGAGAGTACAGAAAAGGCAGTTCACAGACTAGACTTTACACAGAGTAAGTAATACATGTAATATCTTCCCTTTCAAAGTGAAACGGAATGTGCATATGTCAAAAGGTAAGTTGTCATTTTTTGACTTTGACATTTCATATTAACAACAAGATTTGCAAACAAGTTTTGACAAAACAATGACTTATTATTAAATAACAATACAATAATTTTTTTTATTAAAACTATGCTTATAAACTATACATAGTCATAATATCGTGTTGGTGGTTTTACAATTCTGCCAAAGCGTGTTGTTTTATTATTACTATCAACGGTACTAGGTAAATTAACTTTTTCATTCAATACTTAATTGTTGTTGACTATTTTTCTAAGTATATAGAACTGACTTCTTTGAATTCTGGCTTTAATGCTAATATAATTATAAATCACTTAAAATCAATATTCTCTAGTCATGGCATACCTGAAATAATGATGACAGATAATGGTCCTATAATTGGAGAGTATCGTGCCATATGCGTGTGTATATGCATGGTATATGCTGGGGACAATTTTTGACATCGCATTAGTACTGACATGACCTATTTAACCCAGCACATAGCACATAGCTCATTGCGCCACACCAAACACTGACCTATCTACCCCTTTTTATTGTAATATCATTGACATCGACAGTTAAAAAATGCATTTGACAGGTTAACGCTTGTATGGAGAGTAATCATTCTTCTTTGATTAATTTTGCATAAACAATGTAATAATTATTAATAATTAGAATTGTTTTTTTAACATAATGCTATTCAAACAAAGAAACTTATTGAATAAACACAACTCACTCAAGAATTTTATCTCAAGAATTTTAGTGAAACCTAAACTAAACAAAAAAAAACCATTTCTATCTTAGCTCTGTCCATTCAATGCAGTTGGGTAATAGTGCTCAATGGTAAAAATTGATAAAACACTGCTCCAAAGCCGTTTCTTTACAAACTTAAATAATTATCACGTTATAGTTATTTCATAGCCACTCTCTTTACACAATACCAATTTAAGACTATCGATACGGAAACGCTTGTCAAAATAATTTACGGTGTACAAACAACGGTGCTGTGACACTAAAGTTAGGCAATAACAAATTCTATGTTTGACAGGAATTTGATGTCAAATTTTCCAGTGGCTATGCCATTTTTCATTCTTTTCATTTTACATGTAGAAATTAATTTATTCACTTGACATTGGCAGAACTGTGTGAAATGCGCAGATAAGCCATTAATAAAAGAAGAAGAAGAAATAAGTTGTCAACAAAGTTACGCAACAACCCTGTCACGAACATGCCTTTTCTTAAAAAGCAACACACATAAAATGACAAGATCGAGGAATACCTTGTCTACACCAAATGAGAATAAGATATCATATGGAAGCATCGGAGAAAAGTGACATTTGGGTCTTAACAAAACGCTCTCGATTTCGTCATGCTACGCATATAGGATCCAACAATACTATATAAAGTAGGAACAAGCATAATAGCCAGGCGGCAGTCGCCACCAATGAGGAAGTATTTTAATAAAAAAAAGAAAGCACTAAAAAGCACTTCACTAGATGGCGACTCTAGGAAAAAATATTTTTTTCAGGAAACGAATGGACCTTTTAACTGACATATCAAAAAACTGAAATTTATAAAATTCGAACCTTAGGTAACAATACAAATACGAAAAAGTACAAATAGAATATGAGTTGTTAATTGAGTTTTGAAAATTAATTTACTTCCGTGTTCTGCGATGGTAGTTTTTTACTGCTGTGATGTGTTCACGGACTCTTTCAGTTATTGTTCGTTTCGTCTAACCAATGTAACAACGATCACAACTGCACTCAATCTTATACACGCCAGGTGTTTGAAATGGTAAAACATCCTTCGGCCTTCCCACGATGTTATTTACCTTTAATCCAGGAGCATATACTGTCGGTATCTGGAGAATAAACTGGACGGTAGAAGTGGATTCCACTTCAGAAGATGAGACGTAGCATCGCAGAAACAGTCAGCCGTGACCACGTGGTAGGTAGGAAAAACCTAACTATCAGAAATTTTATCGCGTTAATACCCGTCTTATACAATCTAATATAATGCAACGCAAAATTTTAAAAGTTTATATGTATGTATTACATACACAAAAATTCGGTTTTCTTTTTATCAGAATTTCGATGTTTTTGGTAATATCGATTGATTTAAATTGATATTAACTTTATCAAATATTAAATAATGCTTTGGTCTCGCGTGAGGCCGTGAGTAAACATTAATGATTGATTTTGTTAACATCGATGTTATGTTATTTTTCGTATAGCGACATCGATGTTAAGACATTGATGTTTTTGCTTTCGATATCGTTGATAATCAAAAATCAATGTTCATCGATCATCCCTATTTTGAAATATGAAATAAAAAAACAGTTTAGTTAGAATATCTTTCACGAAAGAAGTCCCACGGTATAACTCTTATTCCTTTGTAATAAAAGAGAAAACAATATGATCCGAGGGACTTCTTTCGTGAGACGAACTTTAATTAGTTTAGCACAAGTCATCACTCACATATGCGAAGTTACACCGAAAAAAGAATCTTCTTGAACCTTCAATTTACGCCTTCAATGCAAACAAAACCAGCAAGCAGTTAGTATCGTAATCTTCTAACGGGCAACTTATTTATTTTTGTTCTCAAAATAGCCTATAAAATCGTAACAGTCATTGAAGTAAGGCTGAAGTTGACAGATTTATTTTTAACTTCCTTGGAAAATGCAAACAGAAAAAAACTATTTGTTTGGTTACTCCAGTTTCGAGTGCAACCGGTGACATCTAGTGGAAAATAGTTGAACTTGATATATGAGATTATCTAGCTAGTACATCTAAAGCACGTTAGATGGCCCTAAGGATATTTTATTCAGATGTTTGGCTAGAAAACATCGAGGTGCCGATGTTATCGAAGTTAAAACATCGATCTTTATTCGACATCGAGCATCCCTAGCGAGTTGTGCTCAGTTCCGCCTTCAACGAACAATAAATAAAATTCAGCATTCTAAAGCTGTGTTTAGCCAAAGCTACGTAAATAGAACGTAATAAAAAAATATATTGTCAAAAATATGACAAGTCTTTTGATTTGACAAGTTTTATTTTAAAACTCTTTCTCATTTCATCTATTTCTTTGCTTGGCTAAATTTGGATGGTTGGCTTCAATGTTAATTTTGCTGTAGTCTATAATAGATAGTTGTCTTTCAGTATTTGTATTGTGAAAAAGACGGACTGGTTGTTAAATGTTATTGATTATTATATGATTCATTGAAGCAAAAAGCCCTCCTACACCGTAGGTAATACCTGCGTACTGTTTCATGTACGTAATATAAATATTTTAAGGCCGAGATGACTGTGGCAGAGTTTTTTAGTTGCTCCCTTCTAGCCTTTGGACCCCCCTTAGTCATGTTCGCGATGACAGTGGCTAACGATCCTGTGCGTATCATCATCATGATCGCGGCAGCGTTTGGGTGGCTGCTATCTTTCCTGCTGTCGTCACTAATTTGGTTCGCAGTTGTACCATTAAGATCCTATCTGGCATTTGGAATGATATTTGCAGTAATATTTCAAGTGAGTAATAATTAAATTAATTTTTCTTATAATTATAATAATAACTCCAATTACAGATATTTACTTATAATTATAATAATAACTCCAATTACAGGAAGCTTTTCGGTACGGTATGTACCGTTTGTTAAGGAAAACAGAAGCAGGCCTGAAAGAGATATCAGACAATCACGAAATAGGAAGCAACAAATTAGAAATGGCATATGTATCTGGACTCGGTTTTGGACTTATGAGTGGTGCTTTCGCTTTAGTCAATGTATTAGCTGATTCGGTAAGCATTATTTTTGGAATATAGCTATTAAGTATTGTTAATCTGGTAATAGTATTATGATTTATTTCGCGAGGTCAACTATAAATTGTTTTCAGATTGGTCCTGGCACCCTCGGTCTGCATGGTGGTAGTGAATACTTCTTTGTTACTAGTGCAGCCATGACATTATGTATGATATTACTGAATACATTTTGGAGCATAATTTTCTTCAATGGATGTGATGAAAAAAGCTACTTGAAAGTAGGCTGGGTCATCAAGTCACATCTGTTTGTTTCAGCTCTTAGCTTATTGAACAGTAAAGGACTCTATGCAGCAACTATAATACCATCCTATCTTGTACTTATTGTTAATGCAGTGGTAGCATTTAAGTGTGCAGGTGGGACTTTCAAAAGTTTAACTCAAAGTTTCACTGTTAGATCGTAGGACCACATGTAAATACCAATAGATATGTATTTGTCTTCTGTTAATAATTAGTATAATTGTGACATGACACTAATTCTGTATAATATGTCGATAGATCACATTGGTAAACTATATTGTATATAATTGTTTTGAAATAATGCTCTTGTAAAATTTTATTCCATATGACCTTTGTGTATGTAATAATAAGATAAAAACAGTATTTGAAACTATGGTTCCCGAGCTAACATTTGCTATGATAGGCTTTTACAGATCCCATAGAGGCTTAAGTTAGGTAACTTGAACAAACCTATTGATAGACTAAATCAACAAACTGTAGGTGTTAACCATTTTTAATCTAACAAAAATAACATTACACCTTTGTTTTTGCTTATTTAAAATAATAAACGAATATCATGCTTTATTCACTTAGATAGAAGGCCAAGATATTAATTAGTTTTATTTATATGATATTTCTCAACTTAATAAGTTGAATAACTAAAATGTAAAACTAAAATGTTTCTCAACTTAAAATCTTATCTGAAATCTGTTTTAAGAAATTGTCCAGCTGCTAGTGAATTTGATGCTTTATATAATTTATATATAGCATGCTCTATGAATGCAGCAATTTTAAATATAAGATAAATTTTAAATTTTGGAATCATTATAGTGTTCATTTATGGATAATTCCCATAGATATTTAACAAATACACAAATAAAATAGCACATTACCTTCAATTTATTTAATTTTCGATATAATCAAACTTAATTCTAAATTATTAATCAAAAGATCATTCCCTTAGATAATACTTAGTATGAACAGAAGTGTATTTCCTTCTTATTCATAGGTAACTTAATAATAAAAACATAAATTAAGATAATTTTTTATACAAATAAAATTCTATAATCTGTCAATATTTCTCTTTCTCCTGTTTCATAATATAATGTTTAAAAATTACAAAAAACTGACTAGATAATCCAATTCTTTATTTACTGTACTGGATCCTGTTCTTCTGCTAGTTGTGTTAATAATGAATCCACTGTCCACACAGAATCTGCTGTGTCTGCTTCCACATCAGGGATGTAGGTCTTTAATATTTCCAGAACTGCATCCACACCCTCAACTGAGCCACAGAGACCACCACCTACTTCTGCCAGAGCATTTGCTGTCTCTCTGTCTTTATGGCCAGTCCTTCAATAATAAATTTTGTTATCAACTATTACTTATTGACCATCTAGAATTTAACAGATTGCAATAATAATTTATACTCACATAGGAGGCATTGATATCTCTTTTTCCAAAATGTCTTGCAAATCGTCCAAGTCTGGTATTGTAGGTATATCATCGCTGGAGTCTGGAGACTTCTTCGGTATAACAAATTCCCTGAATAGAGTATTAATTACCTATATTAGACTATACTGTACATGTTATTAAATAACTTTAAACAATTTTGATCTTAAAATACTTTGCTTCTATATGAGTTCCTTCAGCCCAGACTCCCACTTTTCTAGGTTCCGGCACATTAGAATTATATTCATTCATTTTGTATATGTAACGTACGTACAATATTTTTATTTTATCTCTCAAAACATTCTCTACAGACAGACTAGAATGAGATACTATTATTACCACAGATTATGTTTTACTGCTTGTTCGATCAAGTTAACTTTTTTTTTAATTTATTCTGACCAAGGAAAAAAGTCTTTCGGTTGCGTACAGAAACATGATTATTTCTAACTTATACTGGGAGGAACAAAATGACCGACACAGCCGAAAGTTTCAAGTTAGATTACATGCAAACGTTCATTTTATTTGACAAATATTTAAAAATAGAGGAGGTGTAAAAATTTTAAATTTCTAAGTGTTGACAACCATATAACGCGCATGCGCAATATCGATTGTGTGCAGATTACAACGAACCACGAAATACATTAATTTAATTTAATTATTTACCGATAGTCGATGCTGAAAATGTCCACTTCCTCTCTGAAGACTGAGCTAAGCACGCTCTTTTCAATGCCGCGCATGCACGCGCAAAGCACATCACATTATACACAAAACTAAACACAATCTTCACTAAACTAAACTTAACACTCAAGACGAACACTCTAGTATATTATTAACAAAAATTCAATTTAAAATGCACTAGAACAAAACAAAAATCGACAAAAAAGACGCTTTGCAGCGGTGCGTCGGCGGCGATGCGCAACAACACTCCAACGCAAAAGGTCGGCGGCGACTGAGCGGCCGGAAAATACCGACAGAATAAATGAAGCCACCTGGCGGCTGGCTGGCGGGTGGGGCTTTGATATCGAGGGACGAATTCGGTTCACAATCTTTTTTAATCGTCTTTTGATATCACGCATTTTTAATGATCTTTTTAAATGCTATTTTAATAACAAATTCCTCAATGTTTTTAAAATAAAGTTCATTTGTGTTAATGATGAATCGCTGGAAGATTTGTGAGTTAATCGAGTTTAATTAACGATCCCGTTGTTAAAGGAGTATTACCCCATTCAAACAATTTTTTTGGAGAACTGCTCTTTTAAAATAACGTGGGTTAATGTTAGACTGATCTCTCTACAATAATTTAGGAAATTTTACACTCAGTTTCTTAATTGAGACTTTAAAGTTAAACGTCTCAAACTAACATCACTTAGTTTTCGTTTCCTTTCGTTCATTTTAGTTTTTTATGATCAGTTGATAGCAGTTTGATAAAACTAGGACTATTTGACTTGTGAAATTAAAAAAAACCTTAGGTTATTGAGAATAAGCAGTAGAAATTTTCTACTTTTTTCAAATCTGAAACCGGCTGTTAGTCTGTAAATCGATTTAAGCATGTTGACTGCCTTGTTTATTGATTGTCTGGTAGAATTTGCATGAAAGCAGTCTTATAAATAACAAATTAATTTATTTCGTTTTTAGCAATGAAGAAGTCAATGACCGATTAAAAACTTTTCCTTAGTACGTCCCAAAAACAACTGACTCAGGGTTGAAAACACTCAATCTTTTTCAAAAACTTTGTTATTTAATATCTCCAAAACTATTTGAACTAGACTTATATTTTTTTTACATCATATTAAAGACAAATAGTACTCTTCAGGAACCTCGGGAGTGTCGGTCGTTCTGTTCCACCGAGTATAACTAATTAACAAAAGAAACTCTCATAACTATTAAAATAACAAAACAAATATTTGAATTTAGATTTTTTCAACGGATATAGAAAGTACCGTTGAAAAAATCTAAATTAAAATATTTGTTAAGTATTGTACTTAAGTATAGGGGTGTTAAAGTCTTTATTAGGTAGCAAATCCTGAACGCGGCGGAGAAGACTTATTTCATTGCGTTTACAAATTCAAGTTAACATGACATCCAGTGTTACCCTGGAGCCTTGAACCGCTAAAATTTGTATATTATTTCTCTTTTAAAATATTCCTCTTTTTCAGACATATGACTTTCATTTTCATCTTGACAAAATCAATAGTCGGCTGTTTATACAACTTTGCTGCGACATATCTACTTATATTCGTACTTGTAATATATATTTACTTATCTACAAATTTAACAACAAAACACAAGTACCGGTCAGTTGCACACATCCGTAAAGGTTTAATGACGACTTTAAGCTCTAATGAATGTTCTAAGTTTGAAAATTTGTATGGGAAACGAGTCTTTAAACTAATAACAATTTTAGTGGATGTTTGTGCAACTGGCTGTATATCAATTAGTTAACTTAAATAAATGCTCAGTGGGCGGGAATTTATAGGCGCTTCGGAAAAAACCCAATGCACCCAAAACGGACATTTTCCCATTACTGATTAAGACCTTATTTACGATATAATAAGCTGTACTAAAATATTCGCGGAGGAAGCAATCCAGCTGGCTCCAAGGGAGCGCCGGCAATGGAGATTGGGCATTTATCGGGCAAATACAATTTATTTCCAAAATGCATGGGCTTTTTCCCTATTTGCCCACCGGGCAGAAACTCTTTGCCCATCTCTAATCTCATCAAATATGGACAGAATCATCGATTCACAGCGACGGACACGATGTTTTACCCAAATGTACATATATTTTGGCTCAAACCCATAAATAAACTAATATTTATTAAATATATTTTTTTATGTAAATCACTAGGTTTATTGTTTAGGCAGTGTATAAAGTACTTTATATTTCACAACCTAACAACAATAAAAAGAAATGAATTATCTATGACATGACATTCTATATCATTCAAATCATCATTCGTTCCGGAAGCGATAGATTAATAAACTATTAATGTAGTAAATGGTTATTTGATACATTATAAACACACTGTCAATATGTTTCATGACAATCTGTTCTATTTTATATGAAAATAAATGTTAAAGTTTAAACAGCCAAAATCGCGCAAAATACGCTGCTCCATGTAATGGCGCTGATCACGTGGTATTTGTGATGTCACATGTCGGTAAAATGTCAAGGCGACATAACCCATTTATCAACTATTTATTTACCAAGTAAATAAATAGTACTTCAGAAGAAAATTTGTAGTTAATTTTTTGTTTTATATTTGTATCTACTCTGGCTTTGTTTATAAATTATATGTAAAAATACAAATTTTGCGTATGTATAATAACAGTTTTGACATGACAGCGTCCTGTTTACGTGTGACGTCACATGCCGGTAAACAGAACCTGTTATTGGTTGCGACGACAACCAATTACAGGATGTTTTCGTCGGTCAACAAATTTCATAACGTTCCATTTTCTTTGCGTTATTTTACTGAAGTAAACATATTTTGTCTGCAGATCCTAAAAAACAAACTTTATTATCTAACAAGATGACCATAATACGCAACTTATTTTTAATAGTGCCATATACCCTATTGTGACTTTAAAAGTTACAAAATACCATAAATCACTATCACAATTGCTATACGTTTGAAAATGATTGTGATAGATTGAAAAATTAGATAAGGGGGCGTCCATAAATTACGTGGTGTTTTTTAAATTTTCTGTCCCTCAGGGGGGGGACCCACAGAAATATATCTAGTTAGAAGGAAAAAGTGTACGTACTTCGCGTGCCGAAACGACGTCTAGACAGCTTCATTGCTCGCCGCGAGGCTCAGTCCACTTTCGATCGCAATCGGTGTTGGACGAAATTTAAAATGATGCGTTGTTCGATAATTACCTGCTCAAACACCACCGATATGGTTGGATCTTATAGTCGAGGTATTTCCTTCCATCAGTAAGTAACTATTTGCCTTGATATATCTATTTTGAATTAAAAATCATTAGTTTTGTTGCTCCGTATTATTTTTATCAAAACTGTCATGTGTCCAGTAATAGCTTTCCATTACGGCTTTAATTTGACAGTCCAAATTTGCTGTGCTTGTAAAACCATCGATGTATAATTCAAGGTCAATTTGTTGGAGGACAAATTATCATTTTTTTCTGTCAAAATGGAGAATAGTGCTGTACAATACGATTTTTTTTACCCGATTAAAAATATATCGTTTTTGAAAGCAGAAGAAAGGATAATTAATTTTATATTGAATTATACTGTAATTTTAGTTTTAGTTTTCCGTATGATCCTAATATTAAAAATAAATGGATTGAAGCAACAAGACTCTAAGGCAAATAGTAGGTATACTTACTGGACATGGAAACTTTAACAAACACCTATATAACATGGGTTATTCTGACAGTCCTCTGAGCAGGGCCTATTAAGACAAAAGGACTACATATCTATGAAGCCCAAGGATACTAGTGGAAGCATGCGGCAGAGTTCGAGATCTTACGGGCTTCCTGGAGGAGCTGGGGTGGCAGGACTAAAGCAACCCCGTGTCATGCAAAATAGGCACTGAGTATCGAGTTGCAGAAAAGCCCGCCGTGAAACATAACATAACAACACAGGACGTAAAAATGTGTAGCGTGTCGGGAGGGGGTAGCGGCTACTACAAAGTGTTTGCCCACAGAAAAATGCCGATTTCTATTCTATCGCATAAAATCTTTTTTTGCGCCGATTCACTAAATTACATTCGTGAGTTCGTGACATATACATAATATTTAAGCAAAATGGTAGTCTGTCTATAAAGTCATGAAAAAAATTGAGGGCGCTGCGATCGTGCACGTAGCAACCCTGTGTAGTGAGACAAATGATTTTGATAGTAGGATTTTTTTTTTTTTACTTTTATTACCTCAGAAAAGGTAAAGAAAGGCGTATAATTCGTAGACAATGAGTTTATACTACATTGAAGATTACAATATAGTAATCGTAATTTTTGATAAATCTTTTTTTTTTATAATTGCCAAGTTGTTTTCTCGTTTTACTGCAATGTGTGCTTGTGTTCGATTAAAACTTTGACACTCCTTGTAAGAAAACCCAATATATTTCAGAATTTAACGCAGAACTTCTAGGCTACAATTAAAATCCAGATCAGTTTTGGCAATCCACTGATGTTTTCTTCATGTAGGTACCTCTTTTTTTCACAGAGTAAAAGAACTGAATCTTTTGTCGAAGTGCACAAATGTTGCAGTTAACAATTTATTTCTTAGGACGACTATCTATGTTTCCCAGGGGTTTCAAATATGCCACCATTTTTATAACCTTCATCTACAATACGTATCACTATATTCTCTGATTTTCCTGAAAGTAAGTTTTAAAAATGTAATACCTATATGTATTTGGCAAA